ACACATAAGAGGCATGATATGTGCTATCAATCAAAACTTTATTAGGACCATTTTAGTAGGAGGCATGAGGGAGATGGAGAGGAGGAGAATCAGTACTGAAAGAATCTGTAATAGGACCATCTTTCAAGGAATGGAGAAAATATTTTTTGGGATTAGGGTTAGGATTTACTTTGTCTGTTTCTGGAAGCCACATTTTTTAAATTTTAAATATTTATTTTTTAGTTTTAGGTGGATACAATATCTTTATTTTTATGTGGTGCTGAGGATCAAACCCAGTGTCTCACAGGTGCTAAGCAAGCACTCTACCACAACCCCAGCTCCTGGAAGCTACTTTGATTATTAACTTACCAGTGAAAGAGTCAACAAAATCTTCCTATTAGGATCTGCACTCAGATTGACAAGCCTGCAACACCTTGCACATGTTAACCACAGGGTATGGTATGAAGGACTCAGCAAGAGAAAGATGGTATAGCTTTACCCTTAGGGGCAGAGGCCTGTGAGTCATACAACTAGTTCATGCATCATCTCCATCCCAGATTCACTCTGGTGCCAATGTGTGACAGGAGTGCTCTGTCTCCAGCTTTGTGAGTAAATTTTATTGGCTACCAAGCAAGACACAATGGCACCAGCTGTTTTCTAGTAAAGTTTCTGTGAACTTCCTGTAATGATTTTGTTGTGGAAAAGTATTATAAAATTATGTTCTATGAGGTATATGAACATAATAATCTTTTTCAAGAGGGCTTTCCATACCATTGTGAGAAAGATGAAAGTTTGCAGTTTGGGGATATGGTAGGCGTGGCAGTAGCATCCTAATACTGACAGTGATTTATCTGTTTTAAACTCCAAATAGGACCTTCATGAAAGTGGCAGAACTGGATGGAGCAGAGTGAAGCAATTCCTCCCACTTGTTCTAAGTCCTGGATCCTTTCCAATTCAGCTTATCATGAAGGAGAAAGTATTACTGACCATGTCTTAGCAAAATCAAATGCTGTGTTTATGAAGGCTAACAAATAAACAAAGACCTGTGCTCCCTCTGCTGGCCCTCTATAGCAATATTGAAGTAGAAAGGAACCATAACCAGCATTGGCATCTTCAACAAATGCAAGTCAATCGGGGTACAATGGGAACAACTCTCATTTAATTTAGTTTTGGACATTCTTTGTTAAAAATCCATCTTTATAAACTTCTGATCAAGGTACTTGGAACTGCTTAAAACTAGACATTAAAATTAGACATACCTATAGTCTTTGACTGCAAAATTGCTAGTTATGACTATTATAGCGATTTGGGGATTATCAACAGAGACAAGTGGATTCCTCCCAGATTTTAAAGTTCAGGTACAATCTCTAGAGTGGTTCAAGAAAAAATATCTCAAGTCCAAGCAAAAGTTTCTTTTCTCTTTTGATTTTTAGGAGGAGCTTCCAAAAACTAAAGATTTACACTATTTATGTCCTTTTTGATAATGTCAAACATTAGACTAGATTCTCCAACTCATTAGCATGCAGAAGAATGACCTCATGGTGAACAGATGCACTTGGCTGTGAGCTGCAGTGATTACATCAGTCCCTCCCCAGCACTCAAGGGTGCCCATTTCAGTTAACCCTTTATAGGCCTTTCTGCTGGCCCCCTTCCTTGGTAACATGCTTGAAAACATGATACCACATAGGCATGTGGGTTACATGCATATAAACATGTATGCATAGAACATATACGTGTTAATTGCAACAAATATTAAATTATGGTTAAAATATTAACCATTTTATTAATTATATTATATTAACTATAGTAATAAAACAGTTAATATTGTAACATTGGTTTATTACTGGTCAATAGGGAAGACAAACCACAAGTTAGGTAAAAAGTTGTTCAAATACCAACTGTGTAATGGGTTATTGACAGAAAGAAGCAAGGTAGTTTTAAAACAACATTTTCTTATTTGGAAAATGAATATATATATATATTTTTTTTTTCTTAAAGCCCTTTGACAAAAGCTAAGCACTTATGTATCAGCTTTCCACCCTAGCTGCAGTTGACAGGACATCATGGATAGAAGTACTTCCTTTGGCCACCCACTCCCCAGGGCTCCTTGGATAGATGAGCAATAGCACCTGGGCAGGGAAGCTCTGGGAACAGGGCATTTCCCAACAGTGGCATCTCTGGGCACAACACATCTCTTTTCAAAGGCTGATAGGGAGGCCTTTCTTTTAGCAGTGGGGGCTGCATGCCATGTATAACAAATATAGTGTGGAATAAATACACTACTCAGGTGACTCTCCCTCTTTCTTAAGGATAAAGCTTTTTGTTATGCATATACCAAAAATCAAAACAAAACAAAACCTAGGAGCGCCTAATTCCTCAGATTGTGCATATGCATGTGAGCAGAAGCCCAAGGCCTGCTTTGATGACAATGATGGCCAGAGATGGTCTGATTGGGTCCTAAGTGCACTGTGGGAGCTTAAGCTGCTCAGGGTTGATTTTTCCAGTTGGCTTGTTGCTTGGAAGGGCAGACTTCACCTCAATTTCTTACTTTAAGCTGCCTGGCTCATCTGGGTTTGACTGTACTTGTCCCATGGAAAACAAAAAACAAAAACAAATGCTATGAATAAATAAAAAACATTTTCATCTGTAAAAGTACTAAGAGATGGGGATAAGGATTCCTCAAAAGCAAAGCTGATGTGTAAATAAGAAGAGGATGGGGTTCTGAGAACTTGACTGTATGTGGTACTGACATGTTACATCCTCATTATACCATCCCCACAATTCCAGTTCAAATCATTTTCCCCTTCTTCTTAATCATTTAAGGTTAGATACACAAAGTGTTAAAAGAGAACATTATGCACAGACTTAAAATCATACTGAAGGATAGATGTGATATATGTATAAAAGATTTTATCACTCAACACTGAATTCCCTAAACCATGAACATTATGAAACATAATACTGATGTTAATCTGACAAGATGAAGAAGTAGCATCTGTTTTTGATATCTGGCATTGGATTTCACGTTCCTTTTGTAAAAGTTCCAATCCCCATACTCACATTCTGTTGGAATCTATTCTGGTAGGTAACTCTATAAAGAATATGACTTTTTCAAGCCCATTAACAATCCTCTCTAAGTAGATGTCATAAAATATTAAATTATTCCTAGGATCTCACTTAAGGTGTTACCTACACACTGACTCATTTGAATTGGTTTAAATAATTATGAAATTTTGGGAAAAGATCAAATTAATTTATATAGAGGCTAAAATATTCATAGAAAATAAAGCCCATCATTATTTGTTTTGATAACATCTTAATCTGCAACCTTAAGAATATAACAGTCAAGGAATGTAAAAAATGTAATTAAATTTTTCCTTTAATTTTTAGAAATGAAATGCTTTTTCAAGAGTTTTTTTTTTTTTTTTTTTTGAAAAAAAATCCTGCACTGAAAAATCAAGTCCCAATATCTCATGAGGATGGGAAAAAGCTGAAGGAGATCTTTAAAAAAAATCAGCTTGCTACAGATCCTTCATGTTCTTTAAGCAAAAAAAAAAAAAAAAAAAAATCAGAAAAAATTTTAAACCTCTAGCCAGTCTGGGTATGAAATCTTCATTTCCATTGAAACAGATTTTTTTTTTTTTTTGGTCATAGAATGTTGGCAGAGTGTATAAAAGAATTCAATTCACAGCTGTTCTACTTTTTTAATGTAAGAAACATTAATCAAAGCTTTAAGTTATAAGCTTTTCTCATGTTGTTTAGTATTCCAGTTCAACAAAGATCAATAGAGGCCATCCCAGTGTTTCTTGACGCCTCACCAGGAAGCAGAGGCGTGATTATGTAAATCGCTGCTCCCGCACCTCTGCCAGCTTGCTTATCTTCCCAAGCCTTCTGCCTGCTGCTCCTGGCTCCCCGTGCAAGCGCATGCCTCTCCCTCTTATCTCCCAACAAAGCTCCGAGAGGCAAGGATTGAAGCCAGCGATGTTAAACAATGATGCATGGCTGATTTTATTTGTAAGTGATTTATTTCACCGAATTTAATTTTTTTCACTTTGTGTGTAAGATATTTGTTAACAAGTCAGAATAGGAGAAGTGAGGCAGTGTTCAGAGACAATTGACACAGGTTAGAAATCTATTAAGCACTCTCACGGGTTGTGTTGAAATCCGCGGAAGATGACTGGAAGCCCTGCATTGAGGGTTTCAACATGTGATCACTAAATATCCTATTTACTGTCTGAAAGGCAATTAATCTACAACTACATGTAAAAATTTACAAGTAATAATACTAGTCTTTGAAAAAAGAACTTATAGTAATCGTATCATCTTGTTAAGTGGCAGTATAAATATTTTTTTTTCAAATTGGAAATGTAAAAAGAGTTAAGTGCCTAGAAATAAGGAAATCTATGGCAATGTTTGCAATTTGCCAGTGGCCTAATACATGAAAATGATTGTAAGCCAGTTTCTAAATGGTTTCCACACCAGGTGCTGCTCTAGTCAGCGGCTTGTCCACATGACACCGACCACTCCAGAGAGAAGTGTGCTTGCCGCACTCTGTAATGATGGGCCTGGGGACACTGTCCTTCCATGTCTCCTGCATTAATCCCTGACCCTAGTATCTCGGCAGCATAATCCCCATTTAGCATTAGTAGCAACGGCTTCGACTGTGAGGAACTCTTTTTTGATAAGTAAGCACTGATTCGGGCATCGCTTTTAAACAACATGTTCCCAGCTCAGCAAGAAACCCACACTCCTGAATGAACCACAGCACATTACTGAGAAAAAGTTCATTAACCTTGCTAGATTCGGGGGTTAACAGGATAGCTGAAAAAAGGAATGGAGTGAACAGCTCGGATACAAAACAAATTAAAATGAATGTCATCATTCCTTTTGATATTCATTAGTTGATTCAGAGGGAGAATGCTCTTCTTAAATTTGCAAGCATTTATCTGTGAAAAACAGGTGTACATCTGCTACTCGAATGCATCTTAAGCGTGTGAGAGGAGAATAATGTAGACACTCACCCGTTCCACTGAGGGAGTAGCTGGGAGAGGGAGAAAAGACTTGAGCTGCGAAATCCTCAAATGTCATGACTTCTCGGTGGTTCTGAATTATTGCTTCGAGATACAGCGCTCTCTCTTCATAGCTGAAGTAATCAGTTAAGGAGACAAATGCATTTGCAAAACAGCATGCATAGCAGTGACTGTCTACTTTGTTTTAAATACACTTATGCAACTTTGCTGTTTGTGTATTTTGCAATCTCTTTAGCATTTTGTCAGAAAATTAAATATTCATCATAATTAGTAAGATATGGATTTTAACACTTACGTTTCTCTTAAATTTTAAATACATTCAAAACTAGCTCCACTAAAAAATACAAAAACTAATGGTTACAGAATAACATCAAGGCATCAGTAAGATCCACTTAAGCAAACAAAAACAAGAAACATTGATTGCAATGGCATTTCCTTCTGTTGACCATTGTGAGACAACCCTGGATCTTCATTTTCTATTTGGATGGATAAAACATTCTTGTGAGATTACGGACATAATGAACAAATACTTCAAGCAAGAACTGGTGATATGAGGGTGAACACATTTTTAAAAAAATAAGAAAATGCAAGTTACTGGGAAGAGAAAAGGCCAGAAGGTATAGTCTGAAGGGACATCAGAGCCACTAACCAAAATAAACTCTAAATATTAGAAAATCAGAATTAATATGTAGGAGAATCTAGCAAACAGTGCACAATGCAATTGAGAGAAAAAAAAAAGACTATTGCCTTTTAATTAAAATTGCAGTCTGGAACACACAGCATTCAAATGTGTAATCAAAAACCAGTCACCAATAAAACTTATAGGCGTAACACGCTGAAGCAACTTTCCAGCTGTCTTAATAGGACCCCTGCGTGTGGCAGTCTTTCACAGGGCAGAAAGCAAATCTTCCCCTTTTGTGTGTGGCTTCTGTTTCCTCAGAAGGTGAATCATGCACTTCCAATAACAGGATAACGTCAGAACAATCTGACAATGGATGAAGGCACCACACGTACGACTTTATGAATTAACACTTGGGGAAGTCGGCATGATGTCTCATTTTCCCCTTCTTTATTATCAATGCAAAAGTTAAAAGATGTGTTTTGGTCATTTTGAAAATTGTGCTAATTCTTCAGGAAATAGGGAATGTGGATCAACATCAGTTTGTAATTTGTAGCTCCAAGAGAGGAAAAAGTAATTTTAGCATTTCTCACTTTATCTTAAGACTACCTTTTCAAGATGGCCTCTTGAAAAATGTAAGTAGGTAATAATTATACCTTTCCAATTAGCTTCCAGTAGAGTCTGTGTTTTAAAATAGGCATGCACTTTTCTATTTTCTTTTGGTAAAGTATGCACATTGATTTCTAAATGCGGATTCTTCCTCTTCCTACTCTGTTATATTCAAGGATGATTTCACACCAAGAGGTGACCAGAGACAATCTAGATCTGTGCCGTCTGATATGGTAGCCATGTATCACATGTGGCTATCTAGATTTAAATTTTAATATATTAAAAAATAACAACTCAGTTCCTCTGTCCATTCTATTTCAAGTATTCAAAAGACATATGAGACTAGGGGTTACTGTTTGGGGTTTCCCAGAGATAGGGCATGCTCTTCATGGAAAGCAATACTAGAATTTCTCTTTAAACTTGTTTTATGCAACTTTAAAATAAAATAAAAAAAAGAAGAAGAAATGAGTTTGAAGAGTTCAAAAGTAGACCCTCTGATGATTTATAATCTGTCCTATAGATGGTCACAACAGCCCCAGGCCTGGGCAGCATGAGCCAGAACTAGCTCCACGGCTGTGGGCTGAACTCCTGGTGACTTGCCTTAATGAACAGACTGCCAAACTTCCTCAGCAAGAGGCGCCTGCTCAGACCCAATTCTAGAGGGACCTACTAATGCCATTCACGTCTCATTATGAACACGCTTATTCTGCACAGCACTTGGCTGTCGCCAAGGCTCGGCCCTCCGTGTATGGCCCCAGCAAGCCGCTGGTCTGAGGAACAGCAGGGCGTTAGGCCTGAGTGGCCGTCTGGCGAACAGGCACTCTGACACTAAGCTGGCACGTGCTGGCCCAGCAGGGGCTGAGCGAGGCGTGACAAATTACTCAAAGAGCTGAGCTAAACTTATGGCTGACAACCACCTGAGCCTTCGGACTGCCGTGGCCCGCTGTCAACGCTCAATTCATGGCTCCCCCTTTCAATCCACAGTCTGCTTGTGGGCCTGGGTTAGAGCAGGCACATCCCTCTAAAGACCTGTCATGCTCTGCCTAGTATCGTCCTGCTGTTTCCTGAAAGGTCCCACTGAGTCCAACACATCCACATACAGTGCTCAGGACAATGGTGAACAAAATAGAAATGTGTGTGCATTTTGCTAAATACTCCATGGAAGGCATATCTGGAAAGTGGCTTGCTATGTTAATCAAACTCACAATCAAACCTACAAAAGGGATGCTGTGCATGATGCCACAGAAATTGACCCCAGACAGCAGCCCATCATTCTCATCCTGGATGACACTATTCAACTGTCATAAGCTTGTCCTTGTCAAGGCTGAGAAATCTGGGCTTACAAGAGAAAGTCCAGAACTACATTTACAGGGGGCAATAATCAAGTTTTGAGATTTTCTGACTCAGTGAATATTTATGGTCTGACTCTTAAACTAAGGCACTATGGAAGACAGAACAAAAAGGTCCTTCCAGAACTGGATATTAGAGGAAGAAGTGTTCATTTAGCAGAAGATCCCCAATGTTACCATTTATGTCCTGGACTGTCACATGTAGCACATGCTTCCCCAACCTCCTAACTACAATGTTAACAGTGCTAAACTGGGTGTTGTCATTTAGACAAACATCCATTAGGGCTTGGGTGAGACCAAGACATCATGAAATGCATTTCACTCGTGGCCTAAGCCAGGGCATGTAAACACCATGACAAAGAGAAAACAAATATCATCCTAGCTCTGGCAGCATTTAGAAACAGCCAAGAGACTCACTGATGCCAAAAAATCACTTCTTTTAGTAGCCTTAAAAAAATGTCACCCTTGGAGCTTAACTGAATTTATTAATAGAACTACCAGTAAGGGTGATTTGGAGCCATATTATCTGATATTTTCTTATCTAACAACTCTAGGGCTTCAGTGTTAGTTGCTTTCTATAAGAAAGGGCATCTGTAACTTAAATCTCAAAATACTTTTAAAGTCCTCCTCATGTGGAAGATATGTTAAAATGTATACTGAACATTGAAATAATACCCACTGGTCGAAAGTCAGAGAACTCTGACTGAAAGCGGGTGGCTTAAGAAGCACCTAGTCACAAATCTGGTATGTGTTTCAATGCTAGTCACTGCCCTTTTGTTCTGTAAAAAGTCCAGTAATACATGAAACTTAGTTCTGTACTGAATTTCATTAAAGGTCACATATAGTAAGTACTTTTTTAAAGAGAAATTTGTCTCCTTGACTATTCAACTTAGAAAACATTCAAATTACTAAGCAGAAATTCTTCTTGGTTTCTGGGTAGTTTTGAATTTCTTTAGTGACCTACTCTATCCATATTCCCATGTAGAGATCTTCTCAATTAGTAATAGTCCTCTACTTACATGTCTTCACTGGTTGTACTTTATAAAAAATTTCCAAGAGAAACAGACACACACTGCTAAATCTGTGTTGCAAGAGCCTGAGAATCCAAACCCATCCCTCCAATTTTATTTTGATTATTTGTTTTAATTTTTTAGAAATGATCGCAACAGCATGACTATAAGGAAGGAGCTTGCATTTTGATGGAAGAAGAGATTAGGTTTGAATTCTGGTCCTTTTCTCCTTAAGATGGAGTGCCTGGGTAAACTGTTCCAACTCTTAGCCTTGGTGGTCTTACGTGCAAAATGGGAATACTGATGTGCTATCCAGGCTGCCTGGAGAACTAAAGAGAATCCTTAAATCTTCTTCCCAGGTTCTTGAAGAAGAAAGAAGTATGGTGAATCTTGATTGTCTGCTCCCTGACCCACTGAATATGGATTTATGGATGACATTCCAGAAAGAATGTAGTGGATAAAATAGGGGAAATTTCCAATAGGGTTTTGTTGCAAGCAAACCTTCTCATGTTAGATCCTCATGAACGGGAAAAGTCCTATGGCATCAATTTGACAACAGGAAGTGGAAGGTCAAAGAGTTAAAGTGATTTTTAGAGTCACAGTTACTCTACAGTGGAATCAAGTCCAAAACCCAGGTCTCCTAACTTCCACTGCTCTCTGCAAAGTTGTGAATCCTAGCACACACAGGGTTAAGTTCAAGGTTGCAAAGTTGGGAGCTAAACTTTTAAATAGGACAATGTGGGCTATAAAAGTCAACTTGCAATTTATACTTCAGTACATAACTACATAACATTTAAGGGGCATCTCTACCCACAGACCATGCTGATTTCATAAAATACAGAAAAACCAACTATTACCCCATTTTATTTTCTCTTTTTTATTCAAACTCTGTGTTGGTTGACTGCTACTTAGCATTTTAACCTTCCATATTTTGGAATAACTGTCTTACGGCAAAGAAAAAATAGAATGGTTTATAAGATGCTGTGCTGCAAACTGCATTTTCTTTTTAACCATTCTAATTCCTCTTGCCTGGACCTTCTCTTAATTTTTCAAGAGTAGACATGATAACTCAGTTTGGTAAAATGGCCTCAAGGGAAGTTTGCTTTATGACATCAGTGTGTTATGTTTTGTACTTATCCTTAATTTTTATTCCTAACTCTTGTAGTTCTTTAATACCAACACAAGCAAGTCCAGAGCTGGCCACCTTTTTAACATTGCCTAACCTCTAACTCTACAGCAGTCTTCTGCAAAGGAGGGGAAGCCATGTTTTGGAATCAACTGGGAGATATCAGACAACCACATACCCGTCTGAAATGTTCTGGCAACTTACCCTTTTCTGCCATTGTCCTATTCCCCCAAGTATGTGAAGGACATGGACATGGAAGCTGAGTTCAAGTGATTTTCTAGAGTCAGTTATTCCATGTTAGTTTCTGTAAATGACCATAAACTGAGTGGGGTAGAAATGAATTCTTTCACTAGTTCTGAAAAACCAGAAGCTACAAATCTGCAGAGCCATGCTCACTTTA